TTTCGCCTAGCGCATTCTCAAACAGAATGTTTTGTCGATAAATGATTAAAGTTTTCAGCTTGAGTGGAACATTATGTTTCGTTGTATTTCGGTGGTTCTCTTCTTAAAAGATATCCCAAATTGGTTTTCGCATTCGCGCGTGCGATGTTCTTGGTATCCAAATTGTTATTTGCCGTAGTTTAATGTTTTTATTTATTAGTAGTTTACATTTATAGCATGTATGGCATAATCTGTTTCGTACCTGGTTCAGATTGGCGTGAAGCTTGACAAGTAGGCATCTTAGGTATTCGCTACTGAATGATGACGGTGCTTTGCAAACGGAAATTAGCTCTCTCGACTACGCTCAAAGATAAATGCAGCGTTTTTTCAATCTACATTACCGCTAGGAAGAGAGCGGACCAAATTTCACCCTTGGTTAATGCGTTTCTGCATCCGAACTGGATGAGCTTACTTTTCGAACTGACCGCGGCTGAATATACCTCTGTTAAGGGATCAATAAAAAATCCATAAATACAGACTTTTTCTAGAACTGAAATATTCTTACTTGGAAACCATTAGCATACATACTGCACTGATATTATTCTCCATTTTTGATATTATTGTACATTTGTAGACAGGTTGTTACACTTAGAACAAGATCCCTATCTCGCACATTATTGACTAAGCATAAATATAAAACAAAACCAATATTGACTGCAAAGGAAGGGGTTTGTTTAAGGTTCTTCCTGCTTTCCAAGGGTTTTGACGGTGCCCAAGAGGTGCCTTATCAACAAACCTTATTATGTTTTTCCGCGGCAGTCGGATTAAGCACGGTCTTAGTGAGGGAGTTATGTTTAAAAACAGACTCCATTTTCAAAATTCAGTTTTAAAAATCTGCGTTCTTCAATGCCCTATCACACATCCGCTGATAATCCTCTATCTAAACGTCCTGAGATGCTAAAGGAGACGTTCATTGTGCAAATCAAAATCGCCAGCGTGTATCCAGACCGCCCGTTTATTAAGAATTTATACCGCAGAACGTGAAAAAATTGCTTGCATATACTTAGAATTTGGCGAGCAGGGAAAAAAGGAGGGAGATATGAGAAAACTGTGCCATCACCACAGTTAAAGCACCAGATGTCATGGACGAGTTCAAGTCTTCAGATTCGTTGGGAGGATTTGGCTTCTGGCCTTCGGATTCGTTGGGAGGATTTGGCTTCTGGCCTTCAGATTCATTTGGAGGATTTGGCTTCTGGCCTTCGGATTCGTTGGGAGGATTTGGCTTCTGGC